TCAGATACTGGATTCTCAGATCTTTGTTACCACAACTCAAACCTGCTGCTGGACCCAATGTCTCCTCTGGCCATGTACTCCTGCTGTAATCCTTACCCCCTGCTCCATGCTGTACTATGGAAAAAGCCCAAGAGCATCTTCAAGAAATGACTTTTCTTCCACTGCTTATTCTTTTCTTGACTACTTTTTGTAAAAGCTATCACATCTACCTTCAAGTATACCAGGGGTATGGCTGATTCTCAGACAGCCAACTGCCATGCCCCCTCAACCTGTCTTCAGCCAGTGGCTAACATTCTATAATTCCATTAAGTTGACTAAGGAATTTTTTCTTACTTTGTCAAGTAAAATTTCTTATTTTGATCAAAGACTGATCTACTCCCTTTATATATGTATGATGGGGGAGTGAGAGAGGGTGGAATGGGAAGAGTCCTATTTGTATAAAAAAATTTAGCAGCATTTTAAATATCAAACAACTGAAAACAAACCAGGAGGTCAATGATGGGAATGGTTCAAACTCATATACAAAGTTGATGGAATATTATTGTGCCTTAAGAAATGAAAAACATGGGGGCAGCTAGGTGGCATAGTGGATAGAGCTCCAGCCTTGGAGTCAGAAGGACCTGAGTTTAAATCCAGCCTCAGACACTTGACACGACACTTACTAGCTGTGTGACCCTGGACAAGTCACTTAACCCCGACTGCCTCACTAAAAAGCAAAAAAACAAAACAAAACAAAACCATAAAGAATACAATGAAATAATGAAAGACATTAGGAAGTCTTGCAGAATGATCAAGTAGAACCAAAATATTTACTTAAATAGTGCTTTAAGATTTGTAAAGAGGGCAGCTAGGTGGCGGAGTGTATAGAGTACCAGTCCTAAAGTCATAAGGACCTGAGTTCAAATCTGGACTCAGACCAAACACTGGACACTTACTAGCTGTGTGACCCTGGGTAAGTCACTTAACCCCAATTGCCCAAAAATAAAAAATAAAAATAAAAAGATTTGCAAAAAACTTTATATAAAAAGGCAACTTGTTGTAGTAGAAAGAATGCTGGAATTTTGAGTTGGGAGAGATCCAGCTTCAAATTCTGTCCCAGACACTTCCCTGCTGTACTATGACAAAATCCCTCTCAAGCATTTTTTCTCATCTATGAAATGGGGATAATACTTGTATTACCTACCTGGATTCTAAAAAATAACAATTCATATTTATATAGCACTCTAACCTTAAATCTCTTGCCCCATTGTCCTACTATTGTCCTTACCCTGGGTTATCTTGGTTTTCCCTGCTCAGACTCTGTTCACCTCAGTGAAGGAAGTCACACAACCTGTTGACTGTGCCCAACGTGGTTATGTTATCTAATCTTAGCCAGGTCCTCCCACCTGCGTAGTAATCTTTTTATCTTTTCCCATCATCACACTTTTCCCAGCTATTGTTCTAAACCTTGTGTCTTTTTCCATTTCTGACACCACTTCTTTCTCCCTCTTTCCCAGCAGAGGTTGTTTCTAACTTTACTAAGAAAACAGAAATCCCAACATGACTACCTTTTTCTCTTAATTCAGCACCTCAAATCCCTCAACATTATCTCCCACTCTCTCCTTTGCTGGCTGTCCTTTTGCTTGCCAAAGGCAAACTCTTCAGTTGTGCCCAGATCCCTACCTCCAGGAGTTTGCTTTTTCAATTATTATCTCCCTTCCCTCAGTCTTCAATTCCTCCTTATTTACTACTGGTACTTTTCTTGCTGTTGACAAATATGCCCACGTCTCCCCTAATTTTTTTTTAAAAGCAATTTATTAAAAGCAATTAAAAAACATTTTATTCATGTCTTTTATCTTTACATCATAGTCACTTCAATCCTCCCCTCTCCAGATTGAATCCTCCCTTATGATGACAAAACAATTAAGCAAAAACATCCATTACAGTGAGTGCATCTGACAACATATACAATATTCTAACCTAGTAGTCCCCTTCTTCTCTGTCACAAGGCAGAGAGAATATATTTCATTATCCATTCTCTTAATACATTAATTCCTTTTTCAATTATATTGAGTTTTACTTTCTTTTAATGTTTTTTTCCCCATTTACATTGTTTTAGTCTCTATTTTTCTTCTTGGTTCTGCTTAGCTTGTTCTGGATCAGTTCATACAGATGTTTCCACATTTCTCTGAATTCTTTATTGCTTCCCTCATTCTTAAAAAAAAAATCACTTGATACAATGGTTGTGTCAGTCAGTTTTCCCTAAATGTTTTTTGTTATAAAGGAAGACTGTGAGGAAAAAATATCAGGAAAAGTCTGCAATACCTTTTTTTTTAAAGGGAGAAAATTTTTTTAAAAGTCATTTGAAGCTGTAAACCCTTCAAACTATTATCTCCTTTTCTCCCTTTGGAGTGTACAAAAAACTACATATTTATCACCTCAACTTCTTCATCTCTCACTCACTTCTCAACCCCTTGCAATATGGCTTTCAGCCCCACCTAGACATATATTTTTTTCTAGAATTACCAATGCTCTTAAAAAAAATTGTATTTACGTCTATTGTTTTATATCACTTTTGTTTCCCAATATATCCCTATACTCAATCCTGTCTGGAGAAACATTCCAAATAATAAAAGAAAAAAATAAAGTTCAACAAAACTGACACATTGATCAAGTCCAACATTATATGTGGTGTTTCACATCCATAATCCCATGTCTCTGCAAAGAAAGGGGGAAGGTACATTTTTACATGCCTTTTGGGGGCCAACCTTGGTCCTTCTATTAATTTCACAGCAATCATTTTCAATTCCTTTGTTGTTGTTTTTCCCATTTACAATGCTGAAGTCATTGCATGTATTGTTTTCCTGTCTCTTCTTCACTTTTCATCACCTTATATCTTCCCATGTTTTTCTGCATTGTTCATTTTTTTTTATTCTGCACAGTAATATTCCATTACATTTACAGAACACAATTTGCTAGCCACTCTCCAAGTGATGGGAAGCTACTTTAAGTTTTTTGTCATCACAAAAAGTGTTCTTGTAAATATATGGTGTATATGGGACCTTTTTATCACTGCACTACTTGGGTTTTATGTTCAGCAGTGGGCTCTCTGGATCCAAAGGTATGGACATTTTAGTCACTTTCTTAGCATAATTCCAAATTGCTTTCCAAAATGGTTGGACCAATTCACTGCTCCAATAGCAGTTTACGAGTTCTCCAGTTTTTCAACAGCTCTCTACAAAAAAATCAATGACCTCTCAATCGCAAAATCTAGATGGTCTTTTCTCAGTTTTCATCCTTCTTGACCTAAATGTAGTTTTTTACATTATTCACTGAACTCTCTTTTATACTCCCTCAGTTTTTGTGACACTGTTTTCTCCTGGTTTTCTTCCTACCTGTGTGATAGGGCAAGCATAGATGTTTGTGGCTTTATGCATGCCTACAAAAGTACAAACTCCTTACTGTGGCACTAAAAGTCCTTAATTGGCTCCAGCCTACCTTTCCTGACTTATTTCACATAGTCCCCCTTAACACACTCTATGTTCAGTCAAATTGGCTTACTTGTTGTTTTCTTATATGTAACATTTCATCTCCTGCCTCAGTTCTTTCCCCCGTTCAATCTATTCACACAGCTACCAAAGAGATTTTCCAGTGCAGATCTGACCATTTCACTCCCCAACTCAATAAACTCCTGTAGTTTTTTAGTACCTAGAGCATAAAAAATAAATTCCTCTTTTTGGCATTTAAAGCCCTTAAAAATCTGGCCCAAAACTGCTTCTCCAGATTTACTATAAACTACTCTCCTTAACTCACACTCTTTAAGTCTAGCTAAACTGGTTTTCTTACTCTTCTTCACACATAGCTTTCCATTTCCTGATTCCATGTCTGTGAACTGTTCCCTACAACTGAAATGCACTCCTTTCTCACTTCTACCTCTTTTCTGCCCCACTTATGTCTCATCTCCCCAGCACCTAGCACAGTGCCTGGCACAATAGTAAGTGCTTAATAAATGATAGCTGACTTACTACTCCATGCCTTTTCTCTCCTCAGCTCCACTTTTCAGACTCCCCAGCTTCCCTCAAGGCACAAGTGCTAACGGGAAAGGGAACCCTCTCCTGATACTCCAGTTGTTAATGCTCTTTGCCTCCACAAATGACCTTTTATTTACTTACCTGTGACACGTTCTAGGATGTAAACTCCTTAAGAGAAGGGGCTGTTTATCATTTTTGTCACCATATCCTTGATACTTAGCTTAGTAACTTACAAATGATAGACTCATGTTTGCTGAATTTAAGGCTTAGAACGTTTCTCTCACAACAACCCTGTACTAAAGATATCTTCCCTATTTCCTTTTTTGTTCCGATCGGTAATTTGATGTATGGGAAGCTTCCACTATGGAAACTTCCTCCACTGATGTAAATAGACAACAATTTGGGAAGAAAGTAATCCAAAACCTGGAATAGATATATTAGGATTATACACAGACCCACGCATCTTTAAACATATTGAATGATCGAAAGCAAGGCCAAAAGCCGTACCTGTCCTTAAAGGGCTTATATTCTACTGGAGGAATTAGAGGTCTTCCGGACTTCCAGGTCAGGGCACTATTCACTGCCAAGCTGCCTCGTATCCCCATTTTAGTGAAATGGAGACGGAGCTCGTGGGGGCAGGGGGAGCTCAATGACCTGCCCTCGCTGCCACAGGTCCTAAATGTTTGAGGCAGAATTCGAACACAGGACTCCTGGGCGTTCTGGGCTCCATCCGCTCGGTCTCGCAGCCCCATGCCCGCTCCTTTCCCTCATCCCCAGGCCCTTTCAAAGTCCTCCTCTTTCTTTCTTCTTCCCTCCCTCGGGCCCGCACTCACCCTCGGCTCCCCGGGATAGCGGACCCCGGAACGCCCCCCTCTACTGGTTCCAAACCACCCCCGGCAGGCCGGAAGTACCGCCCTCCGGCTTCCGCCGTCGGGAGGACCAGTCCAATCCTAGTCCCGGACGACTCCGAGAAGGGGGCGTCTCCCAGGCGCGGCGTGAATTCTTCTGGGTGGTCACATCGCTGGAGATCCAGACCCAGGGGGAGGGAGCGGGAGCCTGTCTATCTGACTGTTCCAGATCGACCAGCCGGGTCGTGGACCCCCAGAGTTTCCCCCCAAACATGGTACAGGCCTTCACTCCGCTCTCCCCGCTACCCCTACCCCCATGCTGGACAACGGTTTGGTCCGGAGAAGAGCGAGGCGAGTCGGGGGCTGGCGGGGGTTGAGAGTAAACCACCGAGGTGGCAAGGCCTCCGAGCAGCCTAGAGTGGTCATCCCTTGGCGCTCCCGAGGCCTGCCTGGATTGGTCAGATGCCGGAAGGGGCAGTCCTTTCTGTCTGCTTCTGCGGTTTGTGGGGGCTGCTCCGGAGCTGAGGGTGAGTTAGTCGGGCTCGGCCCGCGGGGGGCTTCCGTATCTGCAGCCCCAGGATCTCGCTTAAGGTTCACCGACATCGGAGCAGATCACCTCCCCACCCAAGCCTCCTGGAGTAGCTGGGGTGGCTCGGGCTCGGCTCTAGGCGCAGCCGCAGTTTAGCGCCACCAGTCCCCCCCGCCCCATCTTTATTCTGGCTTCCCCTCCAGGACCCCCTCCTTGGAACAAGCGGGCGCTAGGATCCTGGCTTCCTTTTCCCGCTCTTTTCTCTGCCTCTGGGGACTTGGCAGATATTGGGGTGCGATTGTGTAATGCCTCCTGCCTTTGTAGGAGGGGTGTGTGGAAAGAGTCTTGGTAGAGCTGTGTGACCCTGAACGAACCGCTTAAACTCTGAGCCCCGGAGGGGCCTCTGGTAGAACCCAGAACCAATGGGTGGAAGGTGCCGAGAGGCCAGTTTGTAAAATGGGGGTGTCACATCTTTTATAGTATTAGAGGAGTGTCACGATCCAGGGTGTCCTCAAAGTCTTAGTGCAGTTTTAAGTTAATAAAGCTTGCATGTTTAGCCTGCAGAGAAGACTCAAGGCGGGGCAGGGGAGGCCCTATAGCTGTCTTCAAATTTTGGAAGGGCTGGCTATGGAGGAGGTATTGGATTTGCTCTCACTGAGGAAAAACAAAAAGCAGTGGGTGGAAGTTGCCAAGAGGCCAATTAGGGCTTAATGTCATGAAAATCTTTTTTTTTTTTTTAATAAGGCAATTGGGGTTAAGTGACTTGGCCAGGGTCACACAGCTAGTAAGTGTCAAGTGTTGGTCTGAGCCCCGATTTGAACTCAGGTCCTCTTGACTTCAGGGCCGGTGCTGTACCCAGTGTGCCACCTAGCTGCCCCAAAAAACTTCTCAACAATTAAAACTGTTCAAGTTTTGAAAGTTCCATGTTGAATTTATAATTTTATGTAAATATAATTTGTTATATTATAATTTTACATTACATGTTATAATTGTATATCATGTTACAAGATAGGCCAGGTGGCGGGGGAGGGTTTCCAACATAATTTCGGACCCCAACACAGGAAATGGTGGGGAGGGGGATAGTTATGTAAATGTAAAAAACATATTTATGTTACAAAGTGTTCCAAAAGTCTTAGTGAAGTTTTAAGCTTTGGGACAACCTGTGTATTATATATTATAATTATCTTTTGTTCTTAAAAATAAAAGCAAGCTCTACATAATAGAGATTCTCGGTTTCTTTTTGTTATACATTATATAAATTGCTTATTTTGTTTGGTGTTTAAGATAATTATTTTTAAAAAGAGAAAAACAATTAGAGCTGCCCAAAAGTGGAATGGGTTGCCTCCTGAGGGTTGGATTCCACTACTTGGAGGTCTTCAAGCATAGAATGGATAACCACTTGTTAGAAATGTTAATAGTAGGGATTCTTTTCTTCTGTGGGTTGAATTAGATGGCTACTGAGGTCTCTTTCCACTCTCAAGTTCTATGATTTTTTATTCCATAGTGAACACTTAATAAATGTTCAATGACCGACTCTGTAAGTATGGGTTATTAAAGATTTCCTTGCTCTGGTATGTTTAGTGATTTTGTATTGCCTTTAGGATAAAGTACAAATTCCTCAACTTATCATAAAGGTTATAAAAAAAACTTATAAAATCTGCCTCTGGCATACTTTGCCCTCTTTGTTTCATATTATTCTACATACCAGCCAAATTGGTTCTCTCTCATCACTGTATTCTATTAGACTGAACTCCTTGAGAGCAGGGATTGTTTTTTGCTTTAGATTGTAAGCTCCTTGAGGGTAGGGACTATCTTTTTTTTTTTAACTTGTATTTGTATCCCCAGCACTTAACATAGTGCCTATTACATAATACATAATAGGTGCTTAATAAATATTTGCTAACTTGACTTGCATTCCATCTCATGTTTTCTTGAGCACAGGTTATCTTCTACCCCTGTGATGTACTCCCCCTCCCTACCCTTGAATCTTTATCTTCCTTCCATGCTCCATTTTCTTCCACCCCAGTTTTTGTGCTTTCTCCTTCCTAAAATTACCTTCTATTTATCTCTCATTGTAGTTGTTTTATGCCCCAGTAAAATATTAGCACCTTGAAGTCAGGAATAGGTTTATTTTTGTCTTTGTATGTTGAGCACCTAGTCCGCATATACACATTCCTCTCATTTCCAATTGTCTGTGGCTTCTCAAACTAATGTTTGGTAAACATTTTAAACTGAACATATCCAAAACTGAACTCATCTTTTCTTCCAAACCTTACCTTCTTCCAAACTTCCCTATTGCATTTGAGCTTACCACCATCCTCTCTGTCACCCAGGCTCACAACTTAGGTCTCATCTTTAACTTGTCACTTTCACCTCCCATTATCCAATCTGTTACTAAGGCCTATTGATTTTATCTTTGTAACATCTTTTGAATATACCCCCTTCTCTATCCTAACACTTCCACCACCCTTGTAGGGGCCCTCTTCACCTTGGCTTTGGACCGTTACAATAGCCTGATAGTTGGTCTGTCGGCCACAAATCTCTCATCATCTCAGTCCATCTTCCACTCAGCTTTCAAAGTGATCTTAAAGCAAAAGTCTGAACATGTCATACCATCTACTCAGACTCCAGTGGCTCCCTGTCACCTCCAGGATGGAATGTAAAATCTTGTGTTTGGCATTCAACACCTTTCATAACCTAGTCCCCCTTCTACCTTCCAGTCTTCTTACACCTTACTCTTGACTAGGTACTGTACATGACACTGGCCTCATTGCTGTTTCTTGAACAAGACATTCCATATCTTGGCTCCAGGACCAGGCCTGAAATGTTCTCTTTCCTAATCTCTGACTTCTTTCAAGTCCCAACTAAAATCTCACCTTCCACAGGAAACTTTTCCCAGCTCCTCTTAATTTTAATCCCTTCTCTCTGTTAATTATATCCTATTTATTCTGTTTATAGCTTGTTTGCTTGTTGTCTCCCCATTAGCCTGTGAGCAGGGACTGTCTTTTTCCTCTTTTTGTATCCCCAGCACTTAGCAGGGTAACTGGTACATAATAGGCCTAATAGGTGATAGAGAGGCAAAAGTGAAAAGGCTCCTGCCCTCAAGGAGTTTAAAGTGAATACAGTGTAATTTGTTATCCTTAGAGTAGTGGGGAGGTACCTACTGCTAAGGAGATCCGGAAAGGCCTCTTACCAGAAGTGGCTTTTGAGCCAAACTCTGAAGGAAGACAGGGGTTCTAAGAGGTGGAAGTAAGAAGGAAAAGCATTCCAGGCATGGGATACAGCTTGTGGGAAGGCACAGAGAGTAGAAATGGAATGTCTTTAAGGAACAACAGAAGTCCAATTTGTCAGGAACCAGAGGGTTTGGGAGTGCTGTGTACTGAGCTTGGAAAGGCTTCACAAAGCCTTCTCAATTGGTAACAACCTTCCCCCTCTGACCTTATGTGGCACTTTATTTTGGTTGGTTGGTTGTTGTTAATTTTTTGTTGTATTTTTTTTATTAATTTATTTTGATTTATCAATAATCACTTCCATATGCTTTTGAGTTTAAAATTTTTCTCCCCCTTCCTCCCCATCCCCCTCCCCAAGACGGCACATAATCTGACATAGGCTATACATCTACATTCATATTAAACATATTTTCACATTAGTGATGTTGTAAGTAGAAATTAAAACCAATGGGAGGAACCATCAGAGAGAGGAAACAAAACTCAACAGAAGAGAAAAAAATAACAATTCGGCTTCCATAGTTCTTTCTTTGGGTGTGGATAGCACTTTCCATCACAAGGTCTCTGGAGATGTCTTAGATCCTTGCATTGCCGGGGAGGGTTAAGTTTATCAATATTAGTCATCATGCAACGTGGCTGTTATTGTGTACAACGTTCTCCTGGTTCCGCTCACTTCACCTAGCATCAGACCATACAAGTCTTTCCAGGTTTTTCCGAAGTCAGCCTGTTCATCATCTCCTACAGCACAACAGTACTGCATCACACTCACATACCACAACTTGCTCAGCCATTCCCCAATTGATGGGCATCCTCTCAATTTCCAATTCTTTGCCACCACAAAAAGAGCTGCTATGAATATTTTTGTACATGTAGGTCCTTTTCTCATTTGTGTGATCTCTTTGGGATATAGCCCTAGAAGTGCTATTGCTGGGCCAAAGGGTATGCACATTTTTATAGCCCTTTAGGCATAGTTCCAAATTGCTCTCCAAAATGGTTGGATCATTTCGGTTGTTGTTCATTCTTGAAGAGGACCAGAATGATATCACTATGTTGGAGTAAAGGTACAGTGTGTGTCTGACTGGTTGATCAGTGTGAGTTTGGAAAGCTGTACCACAGGTCTGGCACAAATAGCCCCATGCACATTTGGAGTGGAGATTTGCACATCTCACGTTTCTTTTGAGCTACTGCAGTTCTGTTTTGCTTATAGAATATAGGGTCTTCTTTGGTGTGGACATTTAGGGTGCTGGGCAGTCATTTACCAGAATCTCCCATGTCACACAATTGATTACATAGTACTTCAGAGAGACCTTGAGAGTTTCCTTGTATCACTTCAGACTTCCATGTAAGCGCTTGCCTTGTGTGAGTTCTCTGTAAAATAGTCTTTTAGGAAAATGTACATTTGGCATTCAAACATGACCAGGCCATTGGAGTTTTGCTCTCTGCAATAGTTTGAATGCTTGGCAATTTTACTCAAGCAAGGACTTCTGTGTCTGTTACCTTATCTTGCCAGGTGATCTTCATAATCTTTCTAAGACAATTCAAAGCAAATTGATTGTGTTTCCTGACCTGATTCTGGTAGACTGTCCAGGTTTCACAGGAATACAACAGTGAGGTTGACACAACTCTGTAGACCTTCAGTTTGGTAGGCAGTCTAATACCTATTCTCTCCCACAGTATTCTAGTTATGACTTTATTATAAATTAGGATGTGATATATGCATTGGAAAGATACAGGCAGAGTGCTATGAAGGAGACATTAATTGTCTTTGGGTTGGTAGGACGTGGGAAGATTAGGTGAAGAGAAGGAAAGGCTTCATGAGGAAATTAGCATCTGAACTGGTTCTTGAAAGATCATGAGATCATGGCTTTAGATTTGGAAGTGCCCCTAAGGGTTATTTTTACAGAGAAAAAAAAAGAAAAAGGATTTCAGTAGGTTGAAAGCATGGTGTGTGGTGTGTTCAAGGCACTCACTGGTTTCACATCTCTTCTCCCAGTGGTAATTATTCCCCATGTTCCTAATCCTATCTAATATCACATCTTCATTCTTTTCCTCCAGAGATTTCTTTTCCCCAAGTTCCTAACCATCCTTTTGAAGAGAACCCAGGAGAACTAGTGATGACAGCTGAACTCTTGCCATCAAGGCCCCAGGTGAGCTGTCCTTCCTGAGATTCCATCACTTCTTTGTCCTCATGTAGCCTTGAGTCTTCCCTCTGACCAAGGGGCTTCAGTAACTCTATTGACCAGGGACCTGAGCCCCAATTCCTCACCCCTCCCCACTTCTAACCCCCACCAATGTCAGGGGCTGAACTAGGATAAGGGCTTCCATATTGCTTGAAACCTTATGGTGGCTCCTCTCTATGTCCACCCCTCTCACTCTCCAAGACAAATAGAGTTTAGGGAGATAAGCCCAATTTGTGTCTTTGAGAGATTTTTAGAAAATTACTTTTCGCTACATGGGGGCTCCTAGCTATGTGTTGTTAGCCTTAATCTGGAATTAGAGGAGATAGTCTTAAACTCTTCATTCTTCTAAAATAATATCATAATCTCCCGAGAAAAAGATCATATATAACCATTGCCTTAGTCGTCACATATGCATTTGCTCCTTCCCCAAACCCTGTGCACATTCCTACACTTACTTTGATTCATACCTAGATATGTTAATTTAAATGCTTATACTCAGAAGCACCCACAGTAGCAAACATATACAGGCAAATCATCAGATCTTGTTGCCTCACCCTGCTAGTGGGGCTGTTCTTAGAACTACATTAGAAACTTCTTGTTTCAGGCAGACATGATATTTGAGGATGTGGCTGTGTACCTTAGCCAGGAGGAGTGGAGCTGTCTGGGTCCTGCCCAAAGGGGTCTCTACAGGGATGTGATGCTGGAGAATTATGGGAATATAGTCTCACTAGGTAAGACCCTGCTCTCAGTACCTATATCTGAGCTTTTTGGCTTTGTGAATAGTCATGGGGGTTTAAAGGATGTAGTCAGGTTCAGAGATCAGATTCCCAATCATGTCTGGGCTTAGAAAAGGCAAATTTCCTACCTGTTCCTAAGCCCCAGACCTGGTGTAGAGCTGGAAATTGTGAGTATCCCTGAGGCTATACTTTTTTCTTCTTCAGAATTGCTTGTTAGAGCCCGAACTTGCTGCCCCTGGAGTAGAATCACAAAATCTCAGAGTTGAAAGGGAGTTCAGAGACCATCTGTAATTATACCTAATTAGGAACCCCTTCTAAACTACTCCTGACAAGCATTCATCCAGCCTCCTCTTGAAGAACTCTAGTGATGGGGAACTCACAACCTCATGAAGCCAAGGCAGCCAAGTGGCCATTTCTAACTATGAAGCTTTCCTTTATATAGAAGGAAATATGTGCCTCTTTGCATTCTCTACACATTGGTGCTAGTCTAGTCCCAAGGTTTAATAGGAACATTCCTAGAGATTGATTTCCCCATCATTCTAATGGGAAATAAACTAATTGTTCCCTCTGCTTGGGTTGCCAGCTGTCTGACCCTTCACTGTCATTTAGGGTAATAGTCCTGAGATCCCTTCAAATGGTGCTCAGACTTTCCCAGGACTTTCTTATCATGGCTTCTCTGGATATTGCATTTTTCTCACCAACCCTCACAGACTGAGAGGCTGGAACTGAGCTTAGCATAGTTCTTTGTTCCCAGGATATTTACTAGATCTCATTCCTTTCCTTAAAAGCAGGATTTCCAGTGCCCAAACCTGATGTGATCTCCTTGCTGGAACGAGGGGAAGAGCCCTGGGTCTTGGATAGGCGAGGAGCTAAGGGAAGAGAGATTTTTGGAGACAACTGCTCAGGTGAGTGAAAATTTTTCCTTCAGTAAGTATATATATATTTACAGAGCATTTTCTGTTTGCCCAGTGTGTTACTAGGCAGAGATCATAGTTTCACTGAATTGTTAAGCTGAAAAACACCTTAAGAGATCATCTAGTCCAGGGTGCTGAGGCTCAGAGAAGATATATGATTTGCCTAGGATCTAGTTTCTAGCTTTGAACTTAAGAATCTTGGCTCAAAATCCAGGATTCTTTCTACTTACACCACAGCTGCTTCCAGGTATCATAAACCAATTCAGGCTAGGAATGACATTGTTATCAATAAACAGTCTGTTGAGAATCCTGAATCAGCTGGTGACCTCCAGACTTAATTTAATTCCCAGTGTGAAGATGAGGTTATCAGTCAGAGACCTTCTTTGGTTTTAAAAATAATTTTTCTGCCCTTTTTTATCTCTTTCTTTAGCTTTCCTAGGAAATCTTGTTGGGGTTATGTCCAATCTGCATTTTTCTTTGAGGTTTCATTTGTAGATGCTTTCAAGTCATTGTCTTCCATGTCTGTGTCTTTAGCTTCCCTATCACTGTAGTAGCTCTTTATGGTCAGGTTCTTTTGTGTGCTAATTTTTCCAGTCTTTTTCTTGACTTTGGATTTTATGTTAGTGTTGGTCTCTGCTCACTTCTGAAGGGGAGAAGGGATGTTTGGCCTGAGCTTCTGGTACTTTCACAGCTCAGTCTGGGGACCTGCAAGTTTTCAATGCCTCCAAAGTACTGTGATCCAGAGAGAAGTCTGTTCCCTACCCTTCTGGTCTGAACCTTGAAACTTCTGACCCAAATTTTTGTCTGTTGGCTTGTGTATAGCTGAGTTTCTGTAGACTGCTACTGCACTCAGTCACTGTTAGCCTGATGGAAGGTTCTGCAGTTTCAGATCAGCTGAATTGCTATGTCTCCTTTGGTCTTGGTATCCTGCTCTGGTTTTTCCACTGCAGGCTTATGTACTGGGCTAAAGATCAGAAGTAAATCACTGCTCTGCGCCTGTGCTGAAAACCATACAACTAAGTTTCTGGAATTTGTTTTGTGCTGAATACTCAGCTCATGGTCACTCTTCTTTGCATTGGATCTAGTACCCTGACCTGGGTAATGAGCGACAGAGTTGCTAGATGTCCCCCAGTCCTGCTCCCAGCACTAGTTCAGGGGTCCTCTAGAATCTCTTTCTGCCCGTTTTCTCTCTCGGTTCTCTTTCTGTCTCTGGGCAGTAGAATCCTCCCAATCCAAATGCTATCATACTGCACTCAAGACCAGCCTTTTACCCCAGTGTCTTCAGTCCTCTCTGTCTTCCTAAGCTGTCCTGAGCTAGAAAAATGACTCACTGTGACTTCTTGACTTTCCCAATCAGAATTTGATCTGGCATGTTTTCTAGGTTGTTGTGGAGAAATGTATTGTGAGAGCTAAGCTAAAATGTTTCCTCTCACTCTGCCATCTTGACTCCACCTCTTCATAGAGACCTTCTTTGTTGACATTGGATGACCATGGTAAACATGGAAAATGCATAAATTCTAGCTTTAGATTATGGGTTAAGTTAAACTGAAAAGACAGAGAAAAGAATCGTTTACCCATGATATCCACCAAGTCTTTGTTCTGTGAATGTAGGACTCAAGAAACAAAAGGGTTAATTCATCCTCTGTTTAAGCCCAAAGGGCTGGATTTAAAGGAAGCAGAAGACAATTCCCACCTTCGCTGAATCACTCCATGTAAGGAACTGCCATAAGTCAGCTGAATGCCAGTGGCGGCCTCTGCTGGTTGTTATATTTATCTCTGAAAACTTAGAACCCCCCAATACGTGGAGAGCTACTATAATAATACTAGTTGTCACTTTATGGCTCTTGACTACTTACAGAACACTCAATATCTCTTATCTCATTTAGTCTTCAGAACAGACCTGTTAGGTATGTTGTACAGTTCAGATTGCATACTTCCCTTACAGGACCCTAGTGATGCTAGTGCTTTGTAAACTTTAAAATGCTACAAAAATTTGAGATGTTGTTATTAGCCTCACTTTACTGATGAGGAAGTGGGTTCAGGGAGCTTGATAACTTCTCTGTAATTACATAACTATTAAGTTTGGAAACTTGGCCCCGTGGCTACAAATCCACTGCTATTTCCAGCTGTAGCACGGTTCCTATTACTAATACCTTCCTTGTTGTTTTAGAGTCCTCAAAAATCTCTCCTTCTCTTCTAGTCTTGGGAGGAACAGACCCCATTGGGCTAAAAGATAACTTAAGTAATTAAGGAGAATTCAGTGACTTAAATAAAGCAAACCAGTATAAAAATTTGGATAGTGCTTATAGAAAGGATTGAAAAGTTTGCCAGTAACCCTGAGCATGAGCTGCCAGAGCTTCTTCCTGATTTCAGCCGATCATTTTCCATTCCCCCCTCCTCTCCCCCACTGCCCTTGTGCATTAGCCATTCTATTCTTTTCTTTTCTTTTTTAGGCAATTGAGGTTAAGTGACTTGCCCATGGTCACACTGCTAGTAAGTGTCAAGTGTTTGGTCTGAGGCCAGATTTGAACTCAGGTCCTCCTGACTCCAGGGCCAGTGCTCTATCCGCTGCGCCACCTAGCTGCCCCGAATTAGCCATTCTTAAATCCACTGGAATCTGGTATGGATAGAGATATGCAGGCATCTAACTGATGTCTTTAATTTTCTGCCCCTCCATGAGGCAGCTAGGTGGTTCAGTGGATCATACACTATGCCTAGAGTCAGAAAGACCTGAGTTCAAATCCAGCCTCAGACAGTTACTAGCTGTGTGACCCTGTGCAAGTCACTTAACCTGTATTTGCCTCAGTTTCCTCATTTGTAAAATATAATGGCTCCTATCTTCCAGGGTTTTTATGAGTATCAAATGAGATAATTATAAAGTGCTTAGCACAGTACCTGGTACATAGTAAATGCCATCTAAATGTTAGCCATAATTATTATCATCATTTTTATTATTGTTAGTGAATAATACCTTGTGCTGTTATTTAGCAAGGTCATAAGATCATAGACTTGGAACTTCAAGGGAACTCAGGCCATCTAGACCCCCAGTACCCTTATTTTATAAATGGGGAATGGAGGCCCAGAGAGGCCTTTACAATTCTCAAAGTACTTTCACAAATGTCATCTCATTTGATCTTGACAACAGCTCTGTAAGATAGGTGGTCCCTATATTATTATGTCCATTTGGCAGAAAAGTCTCATGGAATACACAAAAGCAAAGGTAGCATGCTATCACAGATATGACTCTGAACTGCCTATCAGGAGACTTAGATTCTAGTCACTGATCTGCCACTGATCTAACTTTAAAGAAGTCACAACTTTATAGGATATTTTTCATCCTTGTACAACATGATATATCAAGAATCTGCAAAAAGCAACTTACATATCACTGGACTTTGTAGCAACAAATATTTGCTCTTGTCATTATTATGAAGTACTTAATTTGTCTACTGTCTCTATTATTCAGTTTACCTCTGTGAATTTTTCCATATAACTGAAATTTACTTCTTTAAACTTCTAAAACTACTTTTATTATAAACATTTTTTATAGTAATACTTATATAACTATTTTCCTCTCTTAATCTTTCCCCTAGTCAGACCACATGTGGAAGGTTATTTTCAGTGCTGGACACCACATTTTAGGAAATATTTGAACAAGATGGAGCACACATACAGGGATGACCAGAAAGGTTAGAGAACCAGAGACCATGATCAAATGAAGAGCCTAGAAAGGTTTAGCCTAGAGAAGAGAAAACTTAGGGGAAACACAGCAGTTTGACTTCACTTATTTGAAGTGCTGTTATGTAGAAGAGATTAAGTAAACTTGTGATGCTTGGTTTCAAAGGACAGAACTAGAAGCAGTGGCTGGATGGTTGCAAAGAGATAGATTTAAGAAACTTCCTATTGATTAAAGCTATCTTAAAGTGGAATAGGCTGCTTCTGAAGGTAGTGAATCCTTATTACTGGAGGTTTTCAAACTAGAGTCTGGGTAATTCCTAGTTAGGAGGGAATTCTTGTTTAGGTGAAAGTTGGATTAGATGGCTTTTGAGATCTCTTCTAGCTCTGCGATTGTATGATTCTAGACAAAGTATACTGAACATAATTTAACCTTTTCTTGATGACTGATGGTGGTCATCATAAACATTAGTTATTGGAAGAGCACTGGTCTTGCCATCAAGAAACTTAGGTTATAATCAAAGCCATGTCACTAACTTACTTAAGTGAGTCATAAACTCATTGGGCCTGATTTTGCTCATCTGTGTTGTGAAATATTAGACTAGAAGAGAGGTTCTTTACCTTTTTTTGTGTCATTCTGTGACCTTTTGGCAGTCTGGTGAAAACTATGGTTTGCTTCTCAGAGTAATGTTTTTAGATGCATAAAACAAAATACATAGGATTAAAAAAGAAACCAATTATATTTTAAGCACAATTATTAAAATATTTTTCAAAAACAAGTTTAAAGTCCGCCGGTTAACTCCTGGACTAAAGGATTTTTTAAGGTTCTTTGCTTATTGACTGACTGACTGACAGCTCTGACTTTCTATAATTTTATGATTTTTTTGTCTTCCCAAAAGACATTTGCTTCATTAATTTTGTCTTGTCCTTGCCCCAATAGTTTACTTTAATACAAAAATGCAACCTGTAATATCTGAATTTTATATTTATTTCAGTTCATGAAATTAGCACTGAGAAGTTACCTCAAAAGCTGGAACCTTCTACAGAAAAGAAATTGCATGGAATGATGTCCAAGAGAATTGCGGGGGATGTCTTCCAGGGATTTGACTTTGGAGAAACATGGGACGAAAGAGAGTTAGAGAAACATCAGGAAAATCTTGCAGTTGGGATACTGAAGAAATCCTTTTGCCAAAATAGGGATTTCAGGCCAAACAAGATCAGCAAAAAAACTTCTGTGGGTCAGAGAAATCAAAAGTGTAATGAATTTCAGGGAAGCTTCAGCCTGAGCCCAAACTCTGTTAGATACCAGAACATTCCTACAGGAGAAAGACTCCATCAAGAATTTATATGTGACTTGACTTTCAAACAGAATTCAAATCTGATTAAATATCAGAGAATCAATATGAGTGAGGAATCATGTAAATCTAATATATGTGGGAAAGCATTCAGAGAGAGTTCAGCTGTTATTGAACGCCAGAAAATTCATGGTGGAGAGAAACCTTATGAGTGTGATAAATGTGGGAAAACTTTCAGTCAGAGCTCTAACCTTATTGATCATCAGAGAATTCACACAGGAGAAAAACCCTATATCTGTAAAGAATGTGGAAAAGCCTTCAGACAGAGCTCTAATCTCATTAAACACCAGAGAATTCACACAGGAGAAAAACCCTATAAGTGTAATGAATGTGGGAAAGCCTTTAATCAAAGCTCTAATCTTATTAAACACCAGAGGATTCACACAGTAGAAAAACCATATGAATGTAATGAGTGTGGGAAAACCTTCAGCCAGAGCTCACATCTAATTAGCCATCAGAGGATTCATACTGGAGAGAAACCATATGAATGTAGTGAATGTGTTAGAGCCTTTAGTACCCGATCATCTTTTATACAACATTGTACAATTCATACTGGAGAGAAACCTTATAAATGTAATGAATGTGGAAAAACGTTCAACCAGAACTCTAACCTTACGAAGCACCAGAGAATTCATACTGGAGAGAAACCTTACAAATGTAATAAATGTGGAAAAACCTTTAACCAGAACTCTAACCTTACTAAACATCAAAGAATTCATACCGGGGAGAAACCGTACAAATGCGATAAATGTGGGAAAGCTTTCAGTGCTCGTTCGTCTTTTATGCAGCATCATAAAATTCACATTGGTGAGAAATCCTACAATGAATGTTGAAAAACCTTCAGCCAGCACTTTTTAACCTTAATAAACACCAAATAATCCATAATGGAAAGAAACCTTACAAAGAGATGAATGTGAGAAAACCTCCAGGAGAGGCTCATTCTTTATTCCACAGTTCAGAAAGCATAGTGAAAAAACTGCCCAATGAAAGTAACAGATGAGAAGGCCTTTAAGTGTAATGATTGTGGGAAAGCTTTTAGCCAGAATGCAGACTTATTTGGCATCTGAGATGTTACACTGGACAAACCCTGTGTATGTGATGATTTTTTTAAAACACTCAGAACTCACAGTTCACAATGAACACAAATCATAATAGAAAGAAAACCTATCGCTGTAACGAGTAGTGCCAAAGACATCAGGACGAGCTCTGATCTTAGTAAATTTCAGAAAGTTTACGCTGGATCAAACAGACTCCAGGAGAAACCATTAGTAACCCCCAGGCTTCATTTAAAATCATAAAAGTCATGCTGGAGAAAAAAGCAAGTTCTTTGATTGTAGAAAAATCTTCAGTAAGAGTTCTAGAGGATTCATTTGAGAGAAATCTGATAATGAAGACATTTGGATACATAAGAAGGACCTGTGATTTCATTAGAGGGAAATTTGTCATCTATATATGATTTGATAGATATTTTCTGTGAGGTAGTATTTGAACCTAGGTTTTCCTAACTCCAAGCCTGGTACTTCATCCACTATACCACATTGCCTCTAACTTGAAATGAAAATAATAATTTGTTGATATAGCACTTAAAGTTTGTAAAGTGCTTTATAAATATCTTGTTTGAGCTTCATGATAACCTTGTGATGTACTACAAATATTCCTGTTCTCATTTTACAAATGAGCAAATAAGCTCAGAGAAATAGACAGCTTGCCTGTGGTAACATAGCTATAAGAGATAGGATTTGAACCAATGTCTACTTGACATCAAGTCCAGCACTTTATCCACCGTACTATATTGCCTTTCCTAATAAACATGAACTATACATGCACCATATGGCATAGCATCTAAAGGCTTTAAAGGAAAAGCTTACTCAAAAGCCAGAACACCTCAATAGTAAGAAAGTAATTACAAGTCCCTGACATTCCTCTTTTAGAATTTTAGAGAAAAAGAACATTATAGATCTAACAATGCTGACAAAACTAGATTTGATAAATCTATACTGATTATAGGAGTACTATAGGATATACATATTTTTAAAATTTTTTCCAATTGCATGTAAAAACAATTAACATTTTTTTAATTTTGAGTTCTAAATTTTCTCCCTCCTTCCCCTCCCCTCTCCTTGAGAAGGTAATTTGATATAGATTATATATGTATAGTCATGCAAAACATTTCCATATTAGCTATGTTGCTAAAGAAAACACAGACAAAAAAACCCAAGAAAAATAAAATTTAAAAAGTGTACTTTGATTTGCATTCAGACTCCATCAGTTCTTTCTGGAGGTGGATAGCATTTTTCATCATTAAGCCCTTTGGGATTGTCTTAGATCACTGTATTGCTGAGAATAGCTAAGTTATTCCCAGCTGATCATAGCATAATACTACCATTACTGTGTACGTTATTCTCCTGGTTTCTATTCACTTTGCACCAGTTCATATAATTCTTCCCAAGTTTTTGTGAAACCATCTTGCTTGTCATTTCTTGTAGCACAATGCTATTCCATCACAATCATATACTGCAACTTGTTTAGCCATTCCTCAATTGATGGGCATCCCTTCACTTTCCAATTCTTTGCCACCACAAAAAGAGCTGCTATATTTTTGTACATGTGGGTTCTTTTCCCATTTGTATGATCTCTTTGGGATACAGACCTAATAGTGGTATTACTGGTCAAAGGGTACGCATAGTTTTAGAGCCCTTTGGGCATAGTTCCAAATTGTTCTCCAGAATGGTTGGATCAGTTCACAACTCCACCAACAGTGCATTAATGGCCTGATTTTCCCACATCCTCACCAACATTTGTTATTTTTCTTTTCTGTCATGTTAGCCAGTTTGATAGGTGTGAGATGGTACCTCAGAATTGTTTTAATTTGCATTTAATCAGTAGTGATTTAGAGCATTTTTTCATATGACTATCTGATTTTTTAACTTTAGGTATTTTTATGAAATTGATAGTGTGCTAGGACTTAAAGAACTTATGAATAAATGTAGAAAAGCAGAAATATCAATTATAACAATAACAATCAATGAAGGAAAATAGGAACAAGGGATACAGACCATGATGAAGACCAACAACATTCTAATTGGTAAATCAAAGAGCAAATCATAGAAATAAAAATTGAAACAACATATTCCAAATTCATGACTGATCCTTATAGAAAAATGTGTATTTCTGAAAACAAAATAGAAAAGAACTAAAAAAGAATTCATGTAATTAAAGTAGAAAATAAACAATCTCCAAACAAGCATGAAAGAAGAAGTTTTAGAAGTCAAAGGAGAAATAAAATTGAAAAAAGGCCATGGACCTGATGTATTATCATCCTGGATTTTTAAAAGAATAACAAAATCAACAAGCCATTACCTAATATGACCAAAAAAAGGAAAGTTAAAATGCCAAAATCAACAATATGAATTCATAACATATAGGAAATATAGATTATCAGAAATTAATATACAAAATTAAAACATTATTTAAAGGAAATTTCTCAACAAGCATTTATTAAATATCAAGCACTGTGTTATACCCTGAGAATACAGAGGCAAAAAAAAAAAAAAGCTGCTAGCATCAAACAGTTTGTATTCAAGGAAACAACATGTATGTTAGTACTAAATTATTATAAAGTAAGATTTAGGTTATTTTGGGGGGACGCATTAGTAACTGATCAGAGTGAAATCCATCATCTATATATGATTTAATAGATAATTTATATGAGGCAGCATTTGAACCTAGGTTTTCCTAACTCTAAGCTTGGCATTCTATCCACTATACCACACTGCCTTTAACTTGAAAATAATAATTTGTTGATAGAGCACTTAAAGTTTGTAAAGTGCTTTATAAATATCTCATTTGAGCCTCACAATAACCTTGTGATATACTACAAATATTACTGTTTTCATTTTGCAGATGAGGAAATAAGCATAGAGAAATAAACAACTTGCCTATGGTCACATAGGTCTTCACGTGGGAACTGATGTTTGAGCTGAACTTTGAAGGAAGCTCAAGATGCTAAGGGAGTGAGGAAGAAGTACGTTTTAAATAGGAGACAGCCTGTGCAAAAGCATGGAGATGGGATGCAATCACTGAGAAACAAGTCCAGTTCAGCTAGACTTTAGAGGGGGTAAAAGTGAGTAGTTTGTAATAAACCTGGAATAAATGCTGGAGCCAGATTCAAATGCCAAATGGGTTTATATTGGATCCTAGAGGTAATTAGGAGCAACTGGAATTTATTGAGTAGGAAGTGATATGGTCAAATCTGTGCTTTAGGAGTAACTATAAATAAATACAAAAACTATATGAATAAAAATAATTTTTTTCTTGTTTTAACTTTTTGTTGATAGCTTTTACTTTCACATCATCTATATATATATATATTTTAAAATATATTTGTCCCTTATAAGAATTACAATTAATAAACATTTATTAAGTGCCTTCTATGTGCCAGGCACTGTGCTAGGCACTGGGATTATGAAAAAAGCCAAAAGACAAGTCCCTCCCCTTAAGGGGTTTACAGTCCAATGGTGGAGAACTTTATTTTTTAATATGGTCAGTAAAACTAACCAACATAGGAGTTAAGTATGCTGTTTGTTGGACAAGTAAACACATTGACTACGCCATTTCTCAGGAGTGCTTCTAGCACTTCACTAGCAGGTTCACTTTTGATCTGGTCAGACAGGAAGACAGGAATGGAATCATAGTAAGGGGTTAAATAAGCGTACTTTATTCTAGTCTAGTGTTCTTTAAGGGAGTTTGTTGATAATGGGAGCTCCAACTCCTACAGCATTCCATAACAACCCTTCTCCCAGGGGCCGGCGTGAAGGGGGGGGTGCAATTACCTCTCGTCTCGATGGGGTCAATCGAGACCAGCACAACTTGTGCACTCCCCTAAATATCCTCAAGCTTCAGTGGGGCCTGGTTGAGGCAAACACACAGATTTTCCACCCAAACCTTGATGGGGGCCAATTAAGGCACACACAGCATTCAGCCTGCACATTCACTCCTATGTCCCCAGTCACTGACCGGTGCCCACTTGCTTTATAGGGCAACAGACAAAGAAAGCATATTGCCAGCAATAGCCTAACAATTTTACATCACTTCATCCCTATATCTGCTGTGACTGTGCAATAGAAATTGTTTTGAACCATCATCGTGAGAACTCATATCTAACACCTGGAAAGTAGAGATTGTTATGGCTGTGGATCCTGGGAAAACTCTAAGAAAGAATAACAAAAAATTCACTTTACATACACTAAAATTCACCTTCCTTACATTATTACACTCTGTTCCACATCAAGAAGTCTCCCACCTCCATGCAAAGATGGGAGGAAGATGTATTTTTATCTTTTTTTTCCAGCTTTTTTATTATTTATTTTTAGTTTTCAACATTCACTTCCATAAGATTTTGAGTTTTAAATTTTCTACCCCTCCCTCTCCTTCCCACTCCCCAAGATGGTGTGCAATCTGATATAGTCTTTATTTACACATTCATATTAAGCATATTTTCACATTAGTCATGTTGTAAAGAAGAATTAGAACGAATGGGAGGGACCATGAGAAAGAAGAAACAAAACAATAAAAGAAAAGGAGAGCAAATAGTATGCTTCCATCTGCATTCAGACTCCATAGTTCTTTCTCTGGATGTGGATAGCATTTTCCATCATGAGTCTTTTGGAGTTGTCTTAGATCCTTGCATTGCTAAGAAGAGCTAAGTCTATCAAATTCACTTGTCACACAATATAGTTGTTACTATGTACGAGGTTCTCCTGGTTCTGCTCGTTTTACTCAGCATCAGTTCTTATAAGTCTTTCCAGGTTTTTTCTGAAGTCTACCTGCTCATCATTTCTTACAGCATAATAGTATTTTACCACAACTTGTTTAGCCATTCCCCCATTGATGGACATCCCCTCAATTTCTAATTCTTTGCCATATTTTCATCTTTTGATACCAAGCCTGGTCATTATAATTCCATGGCATTCAGTTTCAGTTGTTTTGTTCCTTCCATTTATATCATTGTAGTCATTGTGTATATTGATTTCTCCTTATTTCATTTTGCATGGATTCATATAAACCACCCATACTTTGAATTGTTCATAAGAAGTATCACTTTGAACCCTTTGACCCAGCAATACCACTTCTAGGTCTGTATCCCAAAGAGATTATACAAATGGGAAAAGGACCCACATGTACAAAAATATAGCAGCTCTTTTTGTGGTGGCAAAGAATTAGAAATTGAAGGGATGCCCATCAGTTGGGGAATGGTTGAACAACCGGTATATGAATGTAATGGGATACTATTGTGCTATAAGAAATGATGAGCAGGTGAACTTCAGAAAAACCTGGAAAGACTTATGCTGAGTGAAGTGAGCAGAACCAGGAGAACATTGTACATAGTAACAGCCACATTGTATGATGACTAAGTTTAATAGACATCTCTTCTTAGCAATGCAAGGATCTAAGACAACTCCAAAAGACTCATGATGGAAAATGCTATCCACATCCAGAAAAAGAGCTATGTAGCCTGAATGCAGATCAAAGCATATTATTTGCGCTCTCTTTTTTTTCTCTTTTTTTCTTTGTTTCTTCTTTCTTGTGGTTTCTCCCATTGGTTCTAATTCTCCTTTACAATGTGACTAATGTGAAAATAGGTTTAATATGAATATATATGTAGAACCATTACCAAAGTGCACAATGTCTTAGGGTAAGGGAAGGGAAGAGATGGGGAGAAAATTTGGAATTCAAAATCTTATGGAAGTGAATGCTGAGAACGAAAAATAAATAAATAAATAAGAAATATCACTTTGGTAGCTATGTGAAGTTGGCACTAGAAGTAGAGATGCCAATTAGGAAACTTCCAATAGTCTGGCAGGGGTCAATAAACATTACATGCTTACTATTTGCCAGGCACGATGCTAAGCACTGGGGATACAAAGAAAGGTGAAAGACAGTCCCTGCCTTTAAGGAGCTTACAATTTAATCGGGGTAATGAAGGACTGAACTAGCACAGTGACTTGTGTGGGTTGAGAAAAAGGAATGTATGCAAGAAATGT